TCACAGCTCCCTATGACAAGAGGGGCCTCTCAGATCCAGCAAGGGATGGGGTCAGGCACACCACCCTGCCCCCAGCCTGCTGGCCTCCAGAGCCAGGTGCTGGTAGAGAAGGAGGCAGGGTTTACAGGGCGGGGACAGGCACAGAGCCGGGTGAGGGATCTGGGGAACCCCAGGGAAGCCTTGAGCGGGGCGAGGAGACTGGGCCATCCCCTGCCCCGGCCCCAAGAGATCTCAGGCAGCTCCTTTTCTTGAGAAGAAAACAATTTTTTTTAACTTCCCTTGGAAATCAGAAACCCTGGGTGCCTCCCAGGGCTATAATAAGGCTGTGTCCGCTGACCAGGTTAAAAATAAAAGATCCCTACCCAGGAGCACTTGGGGCCAGGAGGAGATACTGTGTAGGCTGGGCAGGGGTAGGACCTGCTCTGTGACTTAAGGCATGTGTGTGCTCTGTTTGGCCTCTGGTTCTCAACAGCATTAGGCTGAACGATTTCCAAAGACCCAGTTAAGGGGGAGAGTTATATGGATGCTGTAAGCTGGCGGGGGGGGGGGGGGGGGGGGGCTGTTGGCTGTTGATGTGGCTTGGAACTTGGCCCTCTCAGGGGATCCCTGCCCCTCAGGTTTCTCCTGGGAGGATTCCCCCACCCAGCCCTGGCAGGTGGAGAGGATGGAAGCACTGATGTTTAGCACCACCTGGTGGCACTGAGTGTTCATCACAGCACCTGGGTCCCTACAAATGAAACATCCTGTTTTCCAGGCTAGGGAGACACAGGTCCTGTACCCAAGTCAACCACACTGGCTCCTCTCTGTCCCTAGGAGCCACCGAGCTCCTCCCCATCACAGGGCCTTTCTGGGCTGTAACCTTTCCTCCCTGGACTGCCCCCTCCAGGAACTCCCATGTGCCTATCACACCCAGGACTACCTAAGTTGTAAACACTTAGTCTTAAGTCTGACTCCCCCACAGAGCTGTGAGCTTGATGAAGGCAGTAACCGAGTCCGCTTTAGCCAGCACTGTTGTCCCCTGAGTCTGAAGCCATCTCTGGCATACAGTAGGTGTGCATTACATACTGTTTAATGAATGAATGGATGGATGACAGAATGAATGAACTGCTTGCCAGCAGGCAGGAAGGAAACGTGGAATCAAGAGCTGTTTTAAAAATAAAAACAGACTTGAACAGTAATTCAAATTCATGTATTGAGCATCTGCTGTGTGCCAGGCACTGGGATCCAGCAGTGAAGTCAACAGGCAAAATTCAAATCCTCCTGGAGAAGGTGAATGACAATCTGGCCAATGAATAAATGACTTATAGAGCAGATTCGGGGGGGGGGGGTCTGATGGGTGAGACTGTTGATGAATTTTAGATGGTGTGCTCAGAGAAGCCCCCCATCGAGAGAGTGACATTTGAGCAAAGATCTGGAGGAGGTGAGACAGGAACTATGGAGGTTTCTGGTGGAAGGACATTCCAAGCAGAGGGAACAGCTTGTGCAAAGGCCCTGGGGCAGGACCAGGCCTTGTGTGTTAAAGGATCAGTGGGAGAGGTCCAGGCCTTGCCTGTGTGGCTGGAGTGGAATGTGAGCAAGGGGGAGAGAGGAGGAGGTGAGGGCAAGGAGGAGGTGAGGGCAAGGAGGGGATGGGGGTAGGTCATGCAGGGCCTTGTGGGCCTCTGGGAGGGCTTGGGCTTCTATCCTGAGAGAGGGAGGAGGGAGCCCTGGAGGGCTGTCAGTGGGGGTTGGGGGGACAGGACCTGACATGGGTACTCAGATGTGTCTTTTGGCTGCTTTAGGGAGAACACACTGGGGCGGGGGGCAGGGATTGAATACAAATCAGTATGGTCTCTGGAATGGAGAATTGGGCGGCTGAGGACAGGGAACAGAGGGCGGCTTTACCCGGTGCCTTTTGAATTTTGAACCATGGGAATGTATTCCTCATTCAACAGAAAATAATTTTAAATACACGTCTGTTGATTGCGTGTTTGTGGGCAGTGCTACATTGATTGCTAGGGAGGCCGGGGATGGGAGGAAGAGATCTGTCATCTCCTCTGTCTTGCCAGGCAACGGGACAACCAGCCTGCTCTGGAGACATAAATTTGTGAGATTCAGATGCAGCCCACCTCTCCTTCCCCTGTTCTGCCCAAATCAAGCTGCAGCTGCACATATGCTACGACCCTGGGCAAAGCACGCCCCTCTCTGGGCCAAGAGGGTGGGAGAACATTCGTGCACTATTTAACCATCTCAGAAAGACATCATTCCAAGCAGGACATAGCTATCTGCCTTCAAAACAACAAATTATCTATTATTTATTCATACTTCACAGTTTTTAAAGGAGAATATTTTCAAGAAAATTTTTCTGTTTTTCTTTAAGGCTATTTGGCCAAGCAGGGATGTGGGACTTTCCCGGTGAATACCCAGGCCCACGTGGGCAGGGAGCTGGTGGTGGCCGCCAGGGGGCGCTGGGGCAGCAGGAATGATAGCTTAACCCCTAACTGTGGGAAACTGTGCCCTCCCACCCAGTTACCATATCCCATGTGGCCTCCCCTGCAGGCTTTTGTTATGTTCTTCCCACACCCAGAAACACTTTTCCCAGCCCATAGCTCACTCCTCGGATCTCAGCTCCTTCCAGAAGCTTCTCAGTCCCCCCAGGCTGGCCAAGGGTCCCTTTGAGCTCTGGCAGCTCCCTAGTCTTCCCCATCACAACCCTAATTACCCCATAACAGTCTCTGTCTCTGGCACTGGGCCATGCACACTGGAAAGACAGAACAGGGTTGTCCTAGGTCACCTCCAGGGTGCCATTCAGTCATCACTGTGCCCACAGGGCCTGCACACAGTAGGACCTCAATAAATGTTGGTTGGATAAGTGGATAGATGAATCGACATTCTCCTTACCAGTAACAGGTCTGTGCTCCCAGAACCCCCACAGGCTCACACACAGCAGGTGCTCAGTAACTGACTATCAAAATCACTCAATGACCAAGCACTTACTATGTGCCATGCCTCATACTGGCTTCTGAAAACACCATAGTGACCAAGACAGACCTGTGCCCAGCCCTCTCAGGGTGGGGTGGAGAAACCATGAATTAACAAATAAAGAAATTAACACAAATATTTCAAATAATTTAAAAGTCAAGGCAATGAATGAACAGGCTATTCAGTCTCTGTAGGAGCTAGAATCCGGTAGAAGAGAGAAACCTGGCTCTTTCTCCTGCCCCTGAAGGCTCCTTACGCATTGTGTGACCTTGTATAAGTAACTTCACCTCTCTCGACCTCAGTTTTCTCATCTGTAAACTGGGGACAATGACGGTCTCCATCCAGCTCCTGGAGCTGCTGGGAGAATGACAAAGGCCCACCTGCCCTCACTCCCTGGCTCCCACCCTGGCTCCCAGTCTGTCCCACAGCAGCCACCACAGGCACCTGTGAGCATCTGAGTCAGGTCCCAGCCCTTCTCAGCCCACAGCTCTCCATGGCTCCCGCCTCCCTTAGCAGGTGGAGGGGGTGGGGAACCCAAGTCCTCCATGTGGCCCAGAAGGCCCTACACAACCTGCCTCTGCCAGCCCTCGCCTCCTCCCTCCCCCCCTTCCTCTCCTCCAGCCCCATGGGCCTCCTAGCTGTTCCTCCAACAGGCCAAACATGGTCGTACCCCAGGACCTTTGCATTGGCTGTTTCCTCTGCCCAGAGCATGCCCACCTCATCCCACCCCGTTTGTTCTATGGCCAGCTCCTTCTCTTCCTCCCAGTCTTGGCTCCAACACCACCTCCTCAGAGAGGCCCTCTCCAGCACCTGGGCAAAAGGTCTCTCTCCTGAGATACTCCCATTGCTTGGCCCTGTTATCTTGGCTTCCTTATGTGATGACTCATTCACTGTCCCCTCCCTCCTCTACCTCCAACTGAAAAGAGAACGAGGGACAATCACGTCTGCCCTTACAATATCCCACTGCCTGGGAAAATCCTGGCAGGCGCTCAGTAAATGTTGGTCAGATAAGCAAATACCTGCTGCCACTGTCCAGTTACTACAGGGTATCTCCAAAACCCCTCCCTACACTACCCTACCCTGCAATCTAATCTTAGGATTTCCTCCGCCAGGTTTCACTTCAACGCAGCTGGAGGCTGGGAGCAGAGCCCTAAGAAAATATGAGTCAGCCACTGAAAGCGAGTAGTACACTGCAGCCTGGGCTGGGTGACTCACACCAGGCCTGCCCTCAGGGTGGCAGGCACTGGAGGAAAGGGCACACAAAGTGACTGTTCGAGTCAGACGGGCAGGTGGGAGGGCCTTCTGCGTCCAGAACTCACCGCTTTGGGCCTCAGTTTCCCCCACCTATACATGTGCTCAACTACAGAAGCTTCTACCTCAGGGGTCATTTTGGGAGATTAAAATGTTTCGATATGTAAAGCCTTCAGAATTGTTACGTGGTGAGTGCTCAGAAATTAACTCTATTTTTCTTCTGAAAAGATGAATCCCATCCTTGCCAGGCATGCATCGTTAATAAGCCCTTCCACTGCCCTTGGTGTTTCAGTTACAGGACGATTTATTGGTGACCTTGACACACTGGACTCATAAACCCACTTCGAAGAAAGCAGATGCTCAGAGAGGTGGAGACACTTGCTGAAAATCACACAATGGGATCTAAGCCCAGCCTGGGTGAACGCCTGAAGGCAGACCCCCCCACTCCCACAACCCCTCAAAAGAGCTGCAGCAGAAACTGCTAAATATCCACTTCTAGTATTAGAACCACTTCTAGCAAAGCACATGGTCCATTGGAAGACTGCGTTTCCAGTTCCCGGTGCAGCCGGAGAGGAACCCTGTGACTGCTCTGGCCAATGAAACGAGCAAATACAGGAAATGTCCAGTTTATACCATTCATGGAGAAAAGTGAGTTTCTCTTCAGTTTCCCTTTTTTTGGGGGGGGGGGGGTAGAGTAGGCATTTTCTTATCTTAACAAATTGCCCAGCCGTTTCTCAGAGAACGGTGTGAGAGAAGCATTCAATAAATATTTATTATAATTAAAACACTGTACTAATATCCCATAGCCCATTCCCCACCCCCACCATCCAGAAAGTCTGTAAACACCACATCTCATTCTGGCCTTCACAAGAGCTAGAAAGTCATTGGGGCCCATTCTGCACGATTTCCTGAGACGTAAAGGCATCCCCAGCAGTGTCTTGAAAATAGTAGATGACGCCATCTTCCACTGCACCCCCTGGAGATGAGGGTTCTCCAAGGTCCAGCCCAAGGGGGTCTGAAGGTCAAGGTTATAAGCTTCATCACTTGGTCATTCCGCTTCCTGTGTCTTGTCCTCAGGTGTCTGCGTCCCTCTTTGGTTCCACATGTGGTTGTTGAGCCCCAGCTGCACCATCTGTGCGTGGTGGATGATGAGGGGCTGCAGCCCCGGGCTCTGAGGGGGCACAGGCAAGGCCTGCGGGAAGGCTGGAGGCTGCGGGAAGGCTGGAGGCTGCGGGAAGGCTGGAGGCTGCGGGAAGGTTGGAGGCTGCGGGAAGGCTGGTCTGGGGGTGCTGGCCAGCCATGGAGGCAAGACTGGTGGCTGGTGGCTGGGCCAGGTAGGAAAGGGTGGCTGGGCGCCCAGGGGCCCCTGGCCCTCACAGGGCACCTGAGCCCCAGAGGGCAACTGAGTCCCAAATGTCATGCAGTTCCCAAAAGCTACCTGGAGCTGCTCCATCTGTGTCTGCCAGGACACGTAGGTCTGGAGGTAGGTTGAGTATGCGGCATTCAATGCCGCTGCCTGCTGCCGCTCACCCTCTAGCTGTTGGCGCTGTTCCCGCAGGGCCCGAGCGTCCTGTTCCCTCCTCCAGTTGGCCCTGCGAGCCCGCAGCTTGCAGGGCTTGAAGGTTCTGGCTACCTTCCTGGCAAAGATCTCAGAGTGCTCATCCAGCCACACCAGGCCGGTGAGCAGCCTGGATGTGTCAGGGCCGAGCTGCGCCAGGGAGCTCTCGAGGGGCAGGAAAGGGACCACGCAGTCCTGCCACCCATGCCGTGTGAGGCTGTTCATCAGCGCCTGGTTCACCTCGTGCAGGCTCAGACAGCAGTCGAAGTTGGCAGTGAGCAGCAGGATGGTGAAGGCCGAGTGCTCGATGGCGTCCTGCAGGCAGCTCAGCCTGCCGCGCCCAGGCACCTGGAAGTCCTCACAGAAGGTGGCCCCGTCGGGCACACCCAGGACCTTGAACTTATCCCGGACACGCAGGGCAATGTGCTCATCCGCCTTGGCGTGCAAGATCACGAAGTTATAAAATTTCTGCTCTGATGACTCTGACTCAGGAGGGGAACACGGGTTCACGGAGGCCGCTTGAGTTGTCCAAGGAGTTGACACAGGCGGGTGGGAAGGGGATGTCTTTGAGGCCAAGGGCGGTGGTGGGCATGGCTGGGCTGTCGGGGAAATGGTATCTTCTACGGGAATTTGTAGTGGCTTCTGGTCCTTGACGGGGCAGGTGTTTCTGGAGGGTGAGGGGAGAGATTTGGGGGCTGGTGACACTTCTGTACACTCCACCGAGTAGTGGGTGCTGGCGTCTGGAGCTTCAGAGGGGCTGGATGGGCCAGCAGGGCTTGCATCTGAGACAACCTCAGGAAGCCTGGGACCTGGGCTATTGGGTGGCACCAGGGTGTCAGCCATCTCCCCCGACATAGGCCAGCTCATCTCCTCAGGCTCCTGGCAGCCTGTGGGGACAGGCTCATGCACCGGGGGCACATCACGCAGCCTGCTCGGCCCATGGGAGCCGCGGGGCTGGCTGAGGAGGGCCATGGTGGGCGACTGGCTAATCTCCAAGTTGCTGGCCAGGGAGGCTGGGGTGCCGGTGGATCTCAGGGAGCAGCCTCTGCTCCAGTCCAAGGGGTTCTCGATAGGCTGAGGAAGGCTGCGGGTCCCGGAGGGCGATGCTGAGGATGGCGGGAGGCAGCCCAGAGCAGAGTGGAGGGGCTGGAAGCCCTCGGGGTCCCTGACGATGTCCCACCCGCACCGTTCCCGGGCCTCCTCCTGGAGCTCCCTGAGCTGGGGGTCATCCCTGGAGCTGCAAGCCTGGAGGGCTGCCCGGTAGGCCATATCCCGCATCGGGGCCGGGCACAGCTTCTCCTCAGCGAGCAGGTGGTACACCCGGGCCACAGCCCAGGACACGTCTGGGGGCTCCTCCGTGGCCCCAGCGCTGCTGTCCATGCCAGCCCACTGGCGGGCCACAAGCCGGGCCGCCGCATCTGCCTTCAGGCCCTCCAGGGAGATCCTGGCTTCGGTCTCCTGGCCCAGCGTCAGGAGCACCATGGCGTGCAGGAGGTCCGTCCCCCGCCAGCCTGCGCGCGGGCTCTTCAGCTTGTGCTTAAGACGCAGGAGCTTGTTCTGGTCTGCTCTCCTTAGAATGTCAAAGGCGCCGGAGAGCGACGGGCCCGGGCAGGCCATGGGCAAGATGGGTGTGGCCTCTGATGGCAGAAGCGCCGGCTGGTGGAGGCATGTTCCACACCACTTGCCCTCCTGCACGACCAGCGTCCCCTACCTGTTTGCCATACCGGACTCCAGGGGACTACTGGAGCAGACCTGCGGAAGAAGGAAATACGTTACCACCAGAAAGGGGGAAGCCCTGGAAAGCAGCCCAGACACCCCAGCCTTCAAAGGCCACCGTGACCTATCATATCAGGGGGACCTTGGGCAAGACGTGTCATCTCCCCCAACCTGTTTCTTCCTTGGCAACAGGACAGCAGCTGACACTTTCCTGGTGTCACCCTAGAGGTAGACACTATTTCCCTCATTTGCAAATGAAGAAAGTGGAGAGAGGTGAAGTCACTTGCGCAAAGTCATGTAGAGAGTGAGTGACGGAGCTGGGATTTAAATCCAAGCAGACTGGCTCCAGAGGATGTGTGCCTAACCATAAGACCACACTGCCTCTTATGATGATAATGAGCCCACTTGGGGCATTGTTTCAGGGAACTGAGTTGGGTTAATGTATGGAAAGTTCTGGGTCCACTGACTGGAGGTCGGCAGGTGCTCAGTACATGTTTGGATGGCCTCAATGAGTCCCATACCCTGGTATTCACAGCCTTGGGGAGTCCTTCCCACACTGTGCCCAAGTCAACCCCTGTGACTGAGAGAAGATGACGGGGTGTCATTTATAACATTAAGCTACAAAACACACTGGCTTTCTTCTAAGCCACTCTCTCTGCCACACTGCTGGGGGTAAACCACATTGTGAGCAGTCCCGTGGAGAGGCCTTCGTGGTGAGGAACTGAGGCCTCCTGCCACCAGCCGCATGGGAGGCAAGCTTGGACTCCCATCGACATCAGCCCCAGTCAAGTCTTCAGATGAAGCAGCCTGAGCTGACAGCTTGCCTGTGACCTCCATAAAAACTCCAAGACAGAACCCGTGACCTCTCTGCCCCCAGATGCTTGACACTCAGGAATTGTGTGAGATCACACGTTTGTTGATGTTAAGCCACAAAGTTCTGGGGTGTATTGTTACACAGCTACATATGTAGCTAACTGATATAAGTAGCATTGTTAGTTCGGTACACTAATCATTACCATGTGCTGGCTCTATGCCTAACAGCACTGCCAAGCCATGTGGAGGATATGTCCTCTTCTATTTCTCAAAAAATGTCACATTGATTCCCACTTCAGGCTCTTTGCAGGTGTCATTCCCTCTGTGTGGAGCACCTTATCCCCAGACTTTTGCCTGGGTGACCTTAGTCTCATCGCTTAGCTCTCAGGGGCAATGACACCACCTCAGGTACAATGGGGCCCTCCACAACCACCTCAGCCCCCATCCCAGTCTGTCTCTGCCACCTCACCTGTTCCCCCCTCAACAGAATTTGCCCCTGGAAGAACTCTTCCTGTGTATTAAACCTTTTGGATGTACTATCTGCTTTCTGGCCAGTGGGCATACGAGGGTGCAGGGTGAGTCTCTCCTGGGCGCTGCTGGGACACTGAGCCACAAAACAGAAACCTAACAAATACTTGCTGATGAATGAATCAGCCTCATACTCATATCCTCCCAATGCTGTGGAGAAAACAGGCTCAAGGAGAAGGCCTTTCCAAGGGCACATAACAAAGATGGTATCCCAAACCCCATCATTTAAGTCACCAGGTGCTCAAAGCATGTCACGTTCAGACTGGGGAAAAACACAGCCTTCGGTCCATTGCAGGGAACCAAGAACACTGCACCTGCCCCCCAGCTCAGCGGGGCTGAGCCCGCTGCTGGTGCTTCCCGAGCACCATGGTGAGTAGCTTAGAGCCGTACTTCTTAACGAGGACAGCCCTTCTCCCCAGTGGACACTGGATGAAGTCTGGGGACATTTCTGGCTGTCACAACTGTGGGTAAAGGTGCCCCTGGCATCGAGTGAATGGAGGCCAGAAATGCTGCTCATCACCCCACAGTGCCCAGGACAGCCTGCCACAGAGAATGATTTGGCCCCAAATGTTGCTCAATGCTGATGTTGAGGGACCCTAGTCTAGAATTCAAGATTTTTTAAAAAGCTATTTATTGATTTTTTTTTTAAGAGAGAGAGAGTGGGGCATGCAGAGAGACAGTGATATGTTGTTTCACTTATTTATGCATTCATTGGTTGATTCTTGTATTGGGGGTAAACCACAACTGGGTACCTAGCCATGATGAGATCAAATCCACAACCTTGGGACGATATTTTAACCAACTGTGCTACCCAGCCAGGGCTAGGATTCAAGATTTTAAAAAAATTAATTTTAAGCAGATGCCATATGGTCCACTGGGGCACTAGGGCCGAGGTCGGGGATTCCAGGGAAGTCCGATGATGTTTTAGTTTATGGGATGATGCCCAAACCACTGATCCACAGCCGTCAGGGCTAAAAATATTTGTTGCTTAATAAATAAATGAAGTGTGTGAGGAGAAGGAAGGGATACGTACATAGTATTCATTCATTCAAGCAGTAATGTTTCAGTTTCAACCATGTAATGGGCACCATTGAACATACCAGGACAGAAAGAAGAAAAAAATAGATATAGATTCTTCTCTCTTGGATTTCACAGTCTAATGAGTATATTAATTATATATTACAGATGTAATTCATATTATATATATAAAATTCATAATTCAGGCAGCGGAAACAGCATGTGCAAAGGCCCTGGGGTAGGACTGTGCATGGAATGTTAGCGGAACAGTGAGGAGGCCCACGTGGCTAAGCAGAGTGGGTTGGGGTAGGGGAAGAGGGCGGGGGATGGGGGCAGGTCGTGCCAGACCTTGTGCATGGTGGGGAGGACTCGGGCTTTTACCCCGCTGAGATAGGAGCCCTAGAGGTCTGTGGCCAGAAGAGGGCAGGACCTGACTCAGGGACTCACAGTCCAGAGGGGCTACTATGGGGAGAACAGACTGTTGGGGGCAAGGACGGGAGCACAAGTGCTGGGGACCAAGGTGGAGGTGACCACTGGTTCAGGCAAGCAGTGATGGATGCCGGACCTGGCAGTGGTCTCAGTGAGGGATGGGAACGGTGGGTCTATGGATAACTCGGAGACAGCAAGGGAGCAGGAGGACCTGGGCTTTGGCATGAATGCTGGAGACTGGAGCGATGTGGAAGAAGCTGACTTGGGGTCAGGAGGAGTAATCAAGAGTTGTTCTAGGCCCCTGTCATCTCCCTGCCCTCACCTCTCTCCACTCTCCCCCTCGCTCCCTCTGACCCAGCCACACCGTTCATTAAATACTCCACGCTGGATCCTGTCTCAGAGCCTTTGCTCTGGCTGTTCCCTCAGCCTAGAACCCCGCCCTCCCCGAGATATACACACAGCTGTCTCCCTTGCCTCCTTCAGTTCTCTGCTCAAATGTCACCTCCTCATCAGGGTCACACCTTGGCTACCTCACTTAACACTGAGCCCCATTCCCCCACAATCCCTTTCTTTCTTTTCTTTTTTTCCTTCTTTCAACTTCTCAGCACCTGACACTCACTTTCATTTGCTTGTTTGGCTGAGTATGTATCGCTTTCTACTGGAGTGAGCTCCACTGAAGCAGAGATGTTTGTCCATCCTGTTCACCATTCTGTCTCTGGTGACTGGCACACAGCACATGCTTAGTAAGTATTTACTGACTGAATACATCAACGAATGGACAGAACAGCATCTGGCGCATAGAAAGTGCTCAAAAACGTTTCCTGCTTGACTCCTTTCTCCCCAAGAAGACAATGAGTCTAATCTGCTCTCACCAGGACTGGAGCGTAGTAGGGGCACACTTCACTCCTTTTGGCTAACTAAGAAATGTTGTAAGACCTGCAAAGTAAAACACAGCCAGACTGCCTCTGAAAGCTGTACAGGAAACCAAAGAGGCAGTTATTCAATAAGTGTTTACTGAGCACCTACTATGTGCAGGCCCCTTCCCACACCTGGCTCTGAGGAACACTCACACCAGGACAGTGAGAAAGCCACCTGATATCCCCTCTTGGCATCTGGCACACATGGCTGTGACCTTTCACAGCTGTTGCTTGTTGTCTTGACTGAAGGCTCCATGAGGGCGCCTCTTGGTCCCCACCATGTGCCCCGCATACTCAACAGTGTCGCCTGGCTCACAGCAGGTGCTCCATAAAGGTTTACTGGAGATGTAATAAATGCCCCTTCATCAGAGGAGGGAAGAGGCCCAAGGCAGTTTCGGGAGTCCGCCTCACTCTCCTACCCACCCCCAAACTCTGGAACCCACACCCCAAACCCCCAGCCTGCCTGGGTCACACTGCAGTCGCCCCTCCCCCAACCCCCTGCTTTAGCCACGGTGAGAAGGAAGACGGGCATGTGGTCGCGGGGCCACCTGGGCTCTGACAGGTGCCAGCGCCAGCACGGGGCAAGCTTGCAGCAGTTCTTAGTACCAATCCCGGCCCCCACGGAAAATGACAGGAGGTTGGGGCGGGCGCTGGAGATTCCCGATTTCAGCTGATCCAGGACGGACCATGGGAGGGGGGTGGTCCCTAGGAAAGGTGGGGATTCAGGACTCGAAAGGGGCTAAGAGGAGAAGCGGCGGGGGCAGCGGAGGCAGCGCCCCTGGGGCAGGAGGAACAGGGGCTACGGCAGAGAAAGCTCTGAGATTTGAGAATCACAAACAAGGGGGGAGAAATGGGCGGGGGCGGGGTGTGGAATTAAAGGAGATCTGAGGGACTGGGAAAAAAATCGGGGTGGTGGAAAGGAATTCAGGGTGCGGGAGGAACGAGTTTTGGGCAGCACCTGAGTTACCCGTGAGGGGAACTGCAGCCTTGAGCGGGCACCAAGCTTGCGGCGGCGCACCGACGCCGGAAGCTCCGAGGGCTGGGGCAGCTGGCCTAGGCCCTGGCGAGGCGCCGCGGGCGCCCGGCCCGCCGCAGGCGCCACGACACACAGCCGGCCCTCGCGCCTTCTCCACTTACCGGGGCTCCCGTGGTGGGGTGGTGGTCCGCGCCGCTCGCTCGCGCCCTCCGGGCCTAGGTTTGTGGCCAGACAGCCGAGCTGCAGAGCGGAAAGAGGACCGTGCGCGGAGGGCGTGTGGGCGGGTCTGCCTCCTTCCGCGGCCGGGGCGTGTATGGGGGGCGGGGGCCTGCTGGATGAGGTCACACTTTCCCTGGCGGACCGGAAAGTCCCCGGGAGCCCCCGCAGCGCCTCCCTCCTCCGCTCTGCACGCTGCCCCACGGCAGTTTGGGCGCTTGTGGTAGTCCGCGCTCTGGGAACCACAACAGGGAACAAAAAGGCCAAGTCTTGCCCTGCGCCAGGTGGGGCACAGTCTAGTGAGAGAAGAGCTACAATTTAAAATCACAGCATCTCCATTAGTGATCATTGATGTCCAGGAAATAGAGCAGGGGCTGGGAAAATGGGCGTTGAGGTGTCCCCAAATTGGGAGGAATGGGAATCATGACCATCCAGAAGGAATTTGGGGATGAATTTGGGGATGGGTAGTAGGATGAAGGGAAGCCAGAGGGCATGTCTTTTCTGTTGTTTAGTTTTTATTTCACAATCATAAACTTAAATCTGGCTAAACGTGGAAGGGGTAAGGAAAATACGGAACCCAATGAACTGGGCGAGAGCACGAAGATTATAGGACATTCCAAGCAGATGGGGGTGAAGGGGTGCTCTGCTGAGCCTCAGAAGGGATGGTTAGGTGGTTAAGATAAGGCAAAAGTCAAATGTGTGAGAGTTGTCCACAGTCAGCAATGGTGACCTTCTTGCTGGTCTTGCCGTTCCTGGACCCACAGCGCTCCATGGCTGCCACAACACCCATGCCGTCCTTCACCTGGCCGAAGACCACATGCTTGCCGTCCAGCCACTCAGCCTTGGCTGTGCAAATGAAAAACTGGGAACCGTTTGTGTTGGGTCCAGCATTTGCCATGGACAAGATGCCAGGACCCGTGTGCTTCAGGATGAAATTCTCATCATCAAATTTCTCCCCATAGATGGACTTGCCGCCTGTGCCGTTGTGGCGCGTGAAGTCACCACCCTGGCACATAAATCCCGGAATAATTCTGTGAAAGCAGGAACCTTTATAACCAAATCCTTTCTCCCCCGTGCTCAGAGCACGAAAGTTTTCTGCTGTCTTTGGAACTTTGTCTGCGAACAGCTCGAAGGAGATGCGCCCCAAGGGCTTACCCTGGACAGCGATGTCAAAGAACACGGTGGGGTTGATCATGGCTGGGCCTGGGAAGTTCTGGGCCGGCGGCATCTGCAAGGCCAAGATGGCTTATCTTGAAACTGCAAACATGATGTTTTAGAATTTGCAGGGGGCCTAACCTTTCAGGTGTCCTGGACCCAGTAGGGACATATCTGTTGCTTATTGTCTTGACTGTGGGCTCCACGAGGGCACCACTTGGTCCCTACTGTGTGCCCAGCATACTCAACAGTGTCTCCTGGCATACAGCAGGTGCTCCATAAAGGTTTGCTGGAGATGTAATGAATGCCCCTTCGTCAGAGGAGGGAAGAGGCCCAGGCAGTTTCCAGAGTCTGCTAAGACACAGTTCTCAGGGCCCTCAGAATTGTAGGGGCCCACAAAAAATTTGCATCTCTTTTAAAATCAGAAAAAAATGAATACAGTCCAGCCTGGATTATATTCACCTTTATAGCAATGCAGTTGTAAAATGTAGTATTTATTTGTTTATTTATTCTAATGGAGCAAGGGGCCTACCAACTTATAAATGCCTTCTGAGCTTCTGTGTCTGCCTGGAGAATTGAGGAGCCTCTTCTCAAAATACCATTTGTAGATTCATAAAACAAAATACAGGACATTACAAGGATATTATGTTGAGTTGCATTTATTAAAATATTTTTTAAAACAGTAATCAGTCATTGGATAAAGTGTGGTATGTCAATTCAATGGGCCATGTATTGTTCAGCCTTAAAAAGGAAGTTCTGCCCTGGCCAGGTGGCTCAGTTGGTTGGAGCATCGTCCTGTACACCAGAAGGTCACAGGTTCAATTCCCAGTTAGGGCACATGCCTTGGTTACAGGTTCGATCCCCATTTGGGGTACATGGTGTAGGCTGGGGCATCCAGTGTTTCTTTCTCTCTCTCCATACCTCTGTCTCTAAAATCACTAAACGTATCCCTGAGCAAGGAAAAGGAAGTTCTGACACCCACTACCACATGGATGAAACCTGAAGCCAAGACACTCAGTGACATAAGCCAGACATAGAAGAACAAATACTGTGTGATTCCATTCATATGAAGTCCCTGGAGGAGTCAGGTTCAGAGAGGCAGAAAGACGATGTGACCCAGGAGGAGAATGGGGAGTTCTTGCTTCTTGGGGACAGAGTCTGAGTTTGGGGAGAGGGAAAAGGTCTGGAGTCGGATGGTCGGGGTGGCTGCACGGCAGTGTGAACATGCTTAGTGCCACTGAGCTGCGCACTTGGAAATGGTTAAGATGCTAAGTTTTATGTTACATATATTTTACCACAATTTTTTAAAACTTAAAAAAAAAAACCTTGTAAGACAATCACTTTATATATACTTTTGGAATAAAGCTATTCGGAAGCAAACACTTAGGGATACACCTTTATCACTGTATTAACTAAAAAGATCAAATAGCTGCAGTGATTTCGTGGTGGTGATGAGTGTCAGCCGTGTGTTGAGCCATCTGCAGCAATGCAGTCCAATATGAAAATACCTGCGGTAAAGTCACAAGTCCTGCTATTGCCTTTGTTAATAATTTAAGGAAGTGATAAATATCTGAGTCAGTGAAAAGAAAGATGTGCATTTTTTTCCCACAGCAGTTCATGGACACCCTGAACTCTGTCATCAATTCCTACAAGATGTCCATGGATCTCAGGGCAAAGTTCACCTGAAGGTTCATGGGGGTGGGGTAGCAAATGGAAGTTGTATGGAAGTAACCCCCCAGTGGGCCCTTACTTAATGCCTGCCTCTGGCTCTGGTGAGGGAGAAATTTTAATGAGTACCTACTGTGTGCTAGGCATGAGCAGGCTTCAGGGATACATCAGGAAAAAAGAAGTAGTCCCCACCTTTGGGGGCTCTGAACCTGGAGGGGGAGAGTGCATTAAACCCACCTCCCCATGCCTCTCTCCCTGCTACCCATAGTCTCCAACTTTTGGTGCCTGTTCCTAATACATCTGACCCATGACTTAACCTTTCCAGGAGGTTTGAGCGTGCCCATTTTGTAGGTGAGAAAACCGAAGCTCAGAGAAAGTAACAGCTGGAGCGTGACATCTTCCAGGGGAAGCTCTGGGCTCCGGAAGGATAAGTCTGACCACCTGCAGACAGGTTGCACACCTCCCTGCTTCAGTGAAAGAAAGACTACATTCGAGTTGAGGTCCACGTTCCTATCCAATTCCTCTTCCTCCTGCGGCAGGGAGGGGGCCCTCCACTTGGGTGCCCATTCCTTCAGTTTTGCACATGTATACACATACCCATGAATATGATATTTAGTATTCTTCAGTCTGATTTGGCTTTTTAATTCATATCTGCCAGAAGTCAGCAAACATTTTTTCAATAAAGGACCAGATAGTAATTACTGTCGGCATTACTGGCCTGGTCATCTATGTTACAACTATGTGACGCTGCTGTCGTAGCGGTCACAGATAATATGTCAAAAAATGAGCATGGCTGTGTGCAAATAAAACTTTATTTACAAAATCAGGTGGTGGACTGGACACTGGCCATAGTTTGCTGACTCTTGTCATAGATGGCATCAATATTTAGCTTTATTCCATTGACATCTCTAACATTCTTCTAATCAAATACATGTAGCCTAATCTTGTTGTTGTTTTTTTAAGTGTGTTACGGTCTCATTAAGCATGGCTGTATTGCCATTGTCGAGTCCCCTGCCATTGGACATGCTGGTTGCTTCCACTATTCCCCCACAACAGGCATTGCCGCCTTACGAGGTGGTAGTTGTGAATGCAGTGCCCAGGTGCGGGGAAATCTGCGTGCTCTGCCCCTTGCTAGCTGTGAGCGGGGCTAAGGGCCAGTCCTCTGACTGTTGCCTCAGTCTCCCTCCCTTGGAACATGGGGTGATAACAGCACCTGTCAGCAGGGTTTCTGGAGGGTAGCTGCTGAAAAGGGGAACTTCTGGGACTTCTCCTCTGACAACGTGGAAAAGATACATTCTCACTCTTACTAAATACTACTGCTTCTTCTCCAAATCGACGCTCCCTGTTTGCACTCCCACTGGAAGTGAATAAAAGGGTGCATTTCCTCCATCACCACCGCATGTTACTTTCATTTTAATTTGCGTTGAAGTGTAATTTACAGGCCCTAAAGTATATAAATCTTAAATGAACATCTCAGTGGATGTTTGCATACACACACACACACACACACACACACACACACACACACTCCCTGTAGCCAACACCCAGATCAAGCTGTAGGTCATTTCAGCCTCGAGAACTTCCCATTGGCCCCTTCTCCATCATTACCCTCTGGGCAGCCACTGGGTTGGTTTCTCTCATCATAGTTTAGTTACGCTTGTCTTGAAACTTCATTGAAATGGGATCAGAGTATGGATTCTTTTTGTCTGGCTTCTTTCACTCAACATCATGCACATGAGTTTCATCCATGTGGTCCTAAGTATCAAATATTGGTAATCTATCCTTGTTCCTTGCTGCACAATATTTCACAGAGTGAATCTACCTCAATTTGCTTATCTGTTCTCTTCTGGATGCCCACTTGGGTGGCGTTTCAGTTGGGGGCTGTTGTGACTAACGCTGCTGTGAACATTTAGGGGTAAGCCTTTGTGTGGATGTCTGCGCCAAGCTCAAGTACAAACACAGGAATGGGGCTGCTAGAATATAGGAGAGGTGTCCCAGGTTGCTTTTTAAATAATACTTTGTAAATCCTTCCCCATTAGACCTGGAGCCCTCAGGAGAAAGCTATATTGCCCTGCCCTTGCTAATGAGAAAGCATGGAAGGGTTTTAGCTCTCTAGGGGACCCAGAGGGTGTGAGCCGAAGTCCCTCTCTCACTTTCATGCCTCAGCTGGGGGCAGACATTGTGCTGGTTCATCCCATCACTCCAGCATCAAGCCTTGAATATCCTGCGCCCCAACCTTG